GTATTTGCCAGGACGAGCATTTAAGTTCCTTCCCAGAAATGCATAAAAATACGTACATATGTAGATGTAGCTGTGTGTATGCGTGTGTCATTTTTGTGTGCATTTTAATGCATTTGAAAATGCTGGGACGCCGATATGTAAGTCCATATATCGAGCAATAAAGGAGAAAGCTTTCGTGCAGGTGCAGCAAATAAATTTGAATATTATTGCCACAAAGAGGAGGAGGACCACCCACCTATGATTATCAATAAGTGCGAAAGTGGAAAAAAGATGCAGATGCGGGAATGCTTTTCATGCAAATAACTACACGGAAAACCTTAAGCAGTCATCGAGATATGGGCCCGTGTCGCTGCGTCTTGGCCCTTGATTGCCTTTTCCCCAGGAGAAAAAGCAAAAAGCAAAACCCAAAAACCTTTTGTCTCATCAAGTGAAGTTAGTTAAGTTTGGAGGAGTCGCGACTTGCATTGGCCTTTTGCATATTCATGTATTCCAACAGCGGAAAAATTGATGGCAACATCTGCCTTAACTCTAAGACTGCAATGGCACATACAGCCCTGCCCTGCCCTCGCTTCCTTTCGTGCTGGGAGCAGGAAGTTCTCGACGACATCGTTGGAAGCACTCAACTGTAGCCGCGTTGATTTGCAGTCAAGACCGAGCCCTTCGCCACAGCAATCCCCAACGGTTCGTTTGTTCTGGCTGCCATTTTGCATGAATATGCATGAGCAGTTGAGCAGTTACAAGCCATCAAAACATGCCACACACTCCGAACACTCGCAAACACTGGGCAACACGCCCAACTCGCAGCAGAAACGGAAAGGGGGCAAAAATGGAGCAAAGACAGAGGGAAGGCGAGAGCTTAAAGGCTAAAAAGATGCTCCAGCGTTTGGCATTCGCTTGCCATATGAAATTTAACCGCGAGACTAACGAGTATATCGTTAGAGGCGCGATACAGCCAAGCCCAGTACGAGCCAGCCAGTATGCAACCCTTCCGTCAGCATCAGCAGCAGTAGCAGCAATAGAGGCATTGCCAATGCCACCAGCCATCAACACCGGCAACATGGCGAATACTTGATGTCCGCGTCTGTTGTTTGACGTGTTGCGTTTAATTGGAACACTCTACGACGTCGACGAGCGACGAGCGACGATAGCGACTCTGACGAGGCAAGGGCCAGTGTGGATGGAGTCCCCCCTGTGCCTTTTGATGTTGCAAGCTCCCCTGACATGGCCCCTGCCATGTGGCATTAATTCATGCAGCTTCAGCTTCAGCTTCAGCTTCAAAGCTGCCAGCGCACAGGCAACGAATATTCATTTAGTTGTTTTTTTTCCGCTTCACCTTTTTTCTCACACACATACACACACAAAAGGAGATGCTTTTCAGTGTTAGTTAGCGCCCAGACGCGTATGCAGTTTGGTCATACTTTTTTTTTTAAGGCACGTGGCAGGGCAACGGCTGGCTGGCTGGCTGGCTGGCTGGCAGGCCTGAGTTGGAATAGGAGCGGGAGCGGGAGCGGGAGCACTTTATTAAAATCTAAAGTTCATCGCAGAGTTTCTGTGGACCTTGCCAGAGATGGAGAGAAGGCGAGAAGGAGTGGATATAAAGTTTATTACATACAAAATTGTATTAAATGAAGTATTAAAGGTGAAGTTAAACCAGAGACAGATTCAACAAAATATTACTCAGAGAACAGCGAATTGTATGGTGAAAATAAACAAACCAAAACAACCCACACTCGGCATGAATCTGTTGCCATAAATGTTTAAACCAAAATGAAACTATTCAATTTTATGGAATTATTTTCGCAGGATGTTTCTACCCACACAATCAAGATGAATTAATTTGTCAGCAAAGGGAAGAAGGGAAACACAAATTGGCACTGGATATTATTATGTGGAGTAACCGGCATCGACGACAAAGTGACGACAATGCGACCAGACAGGCCATAAAAAGGAACTCGACGGCCCTGCGGCTGCCTGCAGCAATAACTCAGCCGATAATCATAATAAAAGAAGAGCGGAAGGGAAGTCACACGTAAGTATGCTGCAGAAAAAATAAGAATAAGAAAAAGAAAAAGAAAAAGAAAGCCCAGGCTGGCGCTCCTCGACCGGAGAAAGTCAATTTGTTAAGCTGCAGTCGGGCCTGGGAACAGGACCCAGAGACAGAGCCACAGCCAGAGGCGGAGCAGACCCAAGCCACGGCAGGGACCAGTGGAAGGACAATAGAAAGTGTGCAAAAGTGGGACGCACAAATATGCCCCAGGAAAAGAGCAAGAGAAAGAGCAAAGGCGAAGCAAGAGCCTTGC